AATAAAAAAAAAAAAAAAAAAAATGGGCTGTATAGTATTCTTTCCCCCTTTAAAAACTCGTGCGCAAAAAAGGCCAAGAGCCAATTGTACAAAAGACATGTTTGGTGTACAATTTTTTTACCTATAGTTAAAAATATTACGCCAACACGTGTTTTTAGCTTTTCATACTTTGAATGTTTCCCACGAGAATGCTTAAAAATTTAAACAAAATTTTTCCATATCGCACTATAAGCAATACATAACATGCATATTATATTATATTATTAATAAAATATTATTTTATTTCAAACTGAATTACATTTAGAATGATAGTGGACGCGTAAATATTTTATTGCATACTAAATTTTAATTGAAAAAAAATAATAATCAAGTCTTGTAAGCTTTAAAGAACAAACATTTTTACGTAAATTTATTACAGTATTAAAATTGTATTAAGTATTATTACTCCGTTAAATACATGACATTGAAACTCGAACGATTTAACTTGTGAGTTTTTTATTATCTAGTTAGAACTCGAACACAGTTTTCATTTAACATTTCAAAAAACAGGAGTGGACAAGTTGAAAGATAATATTTTTCTTTTGACGGGGAAAAAATGAATAACATTCGTCGATTATTGCTACGTTTTGCCGGTCCAACGCACATACGGTGTCCTTTCAATGCCTAACGTCTCGTTTGTTTGTGTATGTGTACACCCGCAGCGATAACCATCTGCCGATAAGTTAAGTTTTCCACGTCAATCCACACGAGACCATGTTTACTGTCGTTTTTTCTTGGAGATTTATCACCGGCATAGTATTACGGTTTCTTATACACAATCCGAACTCTTTCGATCAGTGCATATGTACCATATCCAGCCGTTGGAACTCGCGGTCTCTTAGTCTTTCATGGCGTTCATAAATGGGCTAAAAGATACACCCCCCCCCTCCCGATAAGAGATAAACATCTCACGGATTCACGGAGACGGAGATAGATAAAATCCGTAGATGACAGACAAGGAGGTTAAAGCAACAGACTTCGTGAACTTGGGAATCGACCGCCTTCGCCGTTATAATGTCATTTTAACGGCGACCAGACTACTTTTTTTTGTTTGTTGTTTACATATTATCATTCCGAGCATCAGGACCCGTTATTGTGTCGTCAACGGACGTTTACAACATTGATAAACATCGGATGACATATATTTTGTGCACAAATATCTTAAAAGATGCAACAATAGAGTATAGAATTTCGCAACGAATTCTTTAAACCCAAAAATAAAATGTTATTGTTCACTTAAGCCATGTAAGTTTGTTCAAGCGGATTATTGGATATTTTTGTGGTAGTACAAATAAATGACTTAACTACCGCCACAATTTACGAGCCTTCGTTCTTATGTGACATTTTGTGCTTACAAGGTCAAGTAAATAGTTACTCAAACAAATTTCATAGAAAAATGATTTCAAGTTTGTAGATAGTCATTATTGGTATGAGAGAAATCGTTATTTGCAATAGTTAAGTAAGCAGGAGATTCGATTTTTTTCATGTATCAATTATTTACTTTCAAAATAAAATTAGGTAATAAGACTTGAAGATTCAAGAGTAATAAGAATACAATTAATAGTGATAAAAAAACCATAGTTACATTATTGGAATAAAATATTTTGTATTTTTCAATTGTTTTTATGTTGCAAGTTTTTTCTTTAGTTGATTTCCAATGGAATTTGTCATATTCGTTTTTAAAAAGGAAAAAAATAACACCAATAAAATAATGGCGCTTCAAGGAACTAGTTTTTATTTATTTCATATTCATTTAAATAATTTGACATAACGGCTGTCTGCAAGTTGTATAGAATCTCCAGTTTTTAATAATATTCACAAGAGGAATTTCATCGGTTAGTTGACAACGATTGAATTTTAAATGGCTGTTCATGAATTTCGCATTTTATCCAGTCATTCCCTCTTTTTATTTTGTTTACTAGTGAAGGGAATGATACCCCTATTAATTCTTTTAGAAGAACAAATACGTTCAAATAAATATTCGCCCAATAGAAAATGTAATCAGTAAACACATAGTGTAACCGGCACACGCTTGTATAGAAGCCCATCAGGAATGTTGTCTTCAACGCTAAAGTTACCAAACCGTAGGGGTTTTGTTTTCAACTAGAGATCAATAAATACTGGGGAAACGACTACTCGAAAACTGAACGGTTGGACACATAGAGAGATATTATTTTTAAAATATTGTCGTGGTGTGCGTCTGAGTTTTAACGAAATTAATGATAATTGTCACCACAAATCTAAAACAAAGCGAGTCTGGTAAATCAGAGTATAATTAAAAACGTTTGGTTACTCTGTTGTGCCGCCAAAAAACCGACTGCTTGCAGTCGGTACTATTTACTAGAGCTTGCCTTTGACTCGCGCTTTTAACGATAAACGATTTAATAAATTTCATTGCATAGCGTAGGGAATAATTATTTTAATGGCTTTGTAAAACCACATCACAAATGCTACACGCTAGTAATTTTAAATGATCCATAGAAGAATTAAAGTAACGGCTGTAATGGTTTCTTTTAAGACATTTCTTTGAACAACAAACTTTTAACCTAGACACTTAAACACTAAAAGATACATCAAACTCAATATAAATATAAATAAAACAGAAATTAAATATCGTACTGCTTTAGATTTACATCATATCAATATACTTACGAGTACAAGGGACGGATTTGGGGTCTTTGGCTGGTCGGTAGTACCCTGTGTTGCACCTGCATTCTGACATTCCTTGTTCTGGAGCTTTGCTATGTGCTGGACACGACTGACATTTGTCGTCACCAACTCCATATTTGTATTTCCCCGGAGGGCAAACTGTATAAAAGAAAAAAAAAACACGGCATTAATAAAGTGTACCTGGTTATAACAATAAGCATGTATACGCAGTGTTGTCAATAGATCGTATTGCATTGACTGAGCTGATCTCATCTGGTCAGCAATAAAATAAACTACTAGCAATGCATATAATTGCCGTGTTTTTCTACCGGATGGATTCACAGATAAAAAGACATAACGGTCTCCAGGAGATATTGAATGCAAAACACGTTGAGAAAATCGTGTGCACAACGTCCAGGCGGATTGATGTTATTAATAGAGACAAATCATCGCTTAGTATTACTATACTTCCGCTATTACAATAGGCATCCGGTTACAATCCCTCGGGAACGCCTGTTTTAATTTCAGGGATTTGACTGTTGCATTCTGTGATCGCAGCAACTCGAGCGAACGTTTTGACTATGCACGTTGCATATATGGGCCAGTGCAGGTGCAGTATGAATTTAGCGTCGCCGCCAGAGAGACGGTCTCTCAAGTCGTGAGTGGTTTATGAACAAATATCACGTTTAATTTTCAAAACTGTGTGTTTTGGATGCGAATCATGTGCCGCACGCGTGCAAAAATACAAGAAAAACACATTATTTTCTTTGTGCCGCGGAGGCGGCGAGCAAACAACAAAAAAGATATCATCGCTAAATGATAAGGTCGCATCGTTTGTCGCTTAGCTACAAGCCGCGTCAGAGCTCTCTTATTTTTCCAGTGAATATAATTTGTTTTTTACTCCAATTGATATTCATCGTGTGATTTCTAGACTTGAAATGGAATTTACTTGGCGTGAGAAGCCATCGAGTATTTTTTCTGGACATTTACTTAGTCCCCCAACGCGTGATACGATTGCTCAGCCCTCTTTCGGGTCACGGATTATACACGTTGCAACTGACCACTACAGGTACATGACATATGGAAACAATGCGTTTCACTTTAGATTAGACAGGATGTAAGTCAACAAGCTTGTGGAGTACAACTGGTCTATCTACTATTTTCGATTTATAATAGTGATTGAATAATAACTAATAGTTATAAATTTCATAAATGTCGAAGAAATAAATGTCTTATTGAAAAAAAAAAAAAGAATTTAGATTTTATAAAAACCTGAAAAGTTTGACATTTATGCTTTAAAACTTCAGCGCTTGTAAACTTATTTTATTTTGAGCGTAAACTTTACGGATTAGCTGACTTTATCAAGAACGACAAAATGGTTTTTAATGGATTTTAAAAAGCAATAAGAGTTCACACACGTCAACCGGCGTATGTCATTAGTTTTTAGTATTAAAATCCAAGTGCGTTTTAACAAAAATCCCATTTACCAATTTCTTTAAAAAATACGATCATAGCAATATTTTGAACGATTAACATTTTAAGTCCGCGCTCTGTTCCGTCACACATCAACTGATAAAAAGTTCTTTAGGGTGAGGAAATCGCGCAATTCATATTTATAATTGCGTTGTTAACTCTGAGCCTACGACGACTCTTACGCGGAATTCCCATTGAAAGTAGTGGGATTTAAGTGGATGGCATGAAATCATGGAATGTTCGCCTTAATAAAATTGATATGCGAACGGCAGCCGGAGAATATATCCAATGGTTTAATTTCAGTGTTAGTATTGACTTGAATATATTTGTATAATATATCGTAATGGACGAAAGGGCAATTAGAATCGGTTATTGAAATATCGCCTCGTGTGTATATTTAGCATATAAATTGTTTATTAAGCAAACATCGACGGCGGCAGACCTCACCTCGCGTACCTCTCGCTGACCGTTAATGGCCATCACTGCCATATCTGCATATGAAACGAGCATCCGTAACACACTTCAATATGGTATTATATGTAAATAAACAAAACGCTGTAATGGGATTTTGTGGGCATTTAGAGGGCCCGCTGTGGCGTTTAATACGAACACAAAATGGAAAAACTATGACTAATTAGCGTTACCAGTTTTTCTGACTTTTGTTTCTACGATAATGATATGCCGAATGGATTTTAATTCTCGTGCGCATAGATAGTGAGAAAAACAAATAGTCGAGTTTACACGGAGAACTCGTTTGAAACAAACCGAGAGGATACAATAATATACGATTTTTTCGCTTTTTCATAAATCTTCACTTTTATCGTTTCAGTTTTAATTACGTACTATGGGAAAATAGCTAACCGCAGTCGGTTAGTAATTCAGATAAAATAATACCACGCAATAAACATTTTTTTCCTGTAATTTGATAAATCTTTGAATATCATTTTTATTATTAAACGAGCCTTTTTAAAAACGAAAAACGGTTTAAATTATAGGTACCTACCTCTCCCTATTTTCGGACGGGATAAGATAACAAGATTTCCCATATCTCTGCTAATTATCTACGCTTACTCCCCAAACGATGCAAAAAGTTTACCAAAGTTTTCGCCGAGCTCAAAACTACCACTGCTCCTCTTTCCTTATCTCATCTACACATAGTAATGCAGTGCGACAAACAACCTTTGATATAATTTATAATCGACCAGAGTAAATTCTCGGAGCTTATTAGAAGAGAGATGAAGGGTAACAGCCTCACTGCTGTTGTTATCGTAGTCACTATGCTTTTAGAAAGGATTGTTTTAATTGGGTTTCCGGACGTAGCCAGCACCAACAAGATAACAGCCATACATTGTGTAACACAGAAGACTTCAATAAGAATAAGAAGCATTAAAAAACCCATTACTCCAACACTTAATAACAAAAATATAAACTTATTTGTTGTGTAAAGATAAAGTAATTTATAAAGAACACTTTCCTATTGGGCGTCTAAGAAGTTTTATTCACAGCACATTTCAATAGGTCATTTAGCTTGTGTCGCTTTTTTCAAGCAAGTCTCTATTATTGTTAAATCCCTTTATATTGTTTCCTATAAGCTATAATAAATTTAAATAGTTATATTTACCGATGCACGTCTGTGATTCCATATCTGCTTCAAAGCCGGCTTTGCACTTGCAACCACCAGATGGCAAATACCATTTGCCGTCTCCTTTGCAAAGATAAGTCGGTGTGCCACCCACGACTTCGGCATTTTCTACACACTTGCCGGTTGCGTGTTCAATTTGAGTGAGTTCTCGGGCCGTCGGGGTGGCCGAGAAATTCGCAAAGTTTATCACTACTTCAGGACATACCACATAATATACCTGCAACAAAAATCAAAAGAAACAATTGAGTTAGATGGAGTAGTAGTTAAATCTCACGTTAATGTATAACTTGTCTAAAATGTAAAAAAACCGTAGCTGCGCCCCTCAGTCATTTAAAACAAGAATTAATCGTTTTCTGCTGTTTGTCTACTCTTAATAAAATAAGACATAATAAAAACAAAACAAACAAACACATTCGGGAACGCGTTATTATGAAAGGTTATATTAGTTTTATTAATATTATCGTTACAGGGCCTATAGCACGGCGTGTGGTACTTCAGCATTAGACTAACGCGCCATCGTCTTTAAGTAAAAACAAGGAAATATCGTTAAAAAAAGTAACCCGACCGAGGATTAAACAACATAAACACCCCACGGCGTATGTATGTAATTGTCAATCCCGACTAAATGATGGTCGATATAAAAAGTAGTTTTCTGTGTAGTTACTAAAACTGTTATTTTATATAATAATTCTATTCTTTTTATTCTTGGCATTCGTTTCGCTCCAACAAGGCAACGCGGAAAACAACGACAGATAAACAGTGAGAGAAAGAATTACAACTACAAGGGTCGCTTTGAGAGTGTGGTATATAACTTATGTAGTCGGAACCATTAAAAAAGTCAAGTTTTGAGACGAATAAACACGAAATGGTCCGAAAAAACACTGTAAGGAGACCATTGGTCTGTTAAAATAATAGCCCAAGAGTTGTTAGACATAAGGAGCGAGTTGTAAAACGGAAGAAACGCGTTCAAAGGGTATAATTTTCAATTCATATCGGACAGGTATCAGGTATACATTATTTAAAACACATACATACAGTCATAGTTGTAAAATCGGTTTACATACTGCATGAGAAAAAAAGCAGATGGTAAATTAGACGTATTAGAGACTAGAGTGTCTAATTACTAGTAATAATAACGCGATAAATTATGTATGCAAGTAGTGAGTACATTAAAATAAAATATGACCATCAGCCTAAGAGCATACAAGTAATTTACAAAAAGAAAAAAACGTACGGTGGGCAAAGAAATTTAAAAGTTTTCCATTTTTTTGTCCAACGATAAAAAAAAAAAAAAAGTTTAATTATGCAGATTAAAAAGTTTTGTCAATTTGTCCTAAAGATTCAAGAAAAAAGCATTTTTGCGTTAAGAAACTTTATAATTAGTGCTCGACAACAGCTATTTTAATGGTGAAATGTTTTCTTAATAGGTAAGGCTATAATTTAGGATCGTGTATATTCGTTTAAGCCAAGTACGAGATGGCAATGTTGTAATAAAATAAAATATATTTTCTAATTTCTTGCAATGGAAACGATTTACAGTTAAAACCAAAGAATAGGCTGCAAAAGAAGTTTCTCACAAATGTTTTCGTGTTGAATAAAGAAGTTGTTTAAGCATACACGACCGGATAATTAAAATTTTTATGTATACAATTTATATTAACATGTTTCGTTTATTTTACACAATGCTCAAGTCAAACTCATCAGACATCTTTCGCTGTACACATTTTCGTGTTGTAGTTTATCCCCGTCGTTTATAATTTATACATCCTAAGAGTATAATGCGTTACTTAGTAAAAACGATTTTATGATTCAGACGGGGTTATGTGATTGCTGTCAGTTTAAACGATTTTTCTCCTTAGACAAATTCCAGAAAGTTTGTGTTATTACTTTTTTTTATTGTATTAACAAATTTATGGCTGGCTTCAAGACGTTTCAGTATATACGACAATAACTATAAATTCGCCCACCGAGTCCCACTGACATAATTATTGCATTGGGTTTCTATTTTTATTCGTTCTTATACTTGGACTTTGTATTATTATTTTAATACTATGTTTCCCCCTTGCCAATGATAATATTTTGGAGATATTTTTGTCAGGCGTGTATATGTTTTAAATTGTAACCGGGTAAAGGATATTCGACCGAAGAACATGTGGGCCGTGATTAGTGCGACTGACGGAGATAAAGAAAAAACAATTTATACTTTTTGCCAAAAGTAAACCCATAACCAGGCGTGAATTATTTATTTTAACGGTCGTCTTTCACGTGGAATGGTCTTGTAAATTTTAATCAAAACAACACTATAGGGAACTGTAATACATATTATCTGCCAACCTCCTGCCACGCGCAACGTCTCGGTAACTCTTCTTCCCCTTTGTGAGTGAAATAAGAAACGATCGCGGGCGAGCTTCTCTCTTTATATACATACTAGTATTTCATAATTATGAATTGAGATAACGACGAGTTACAATCAGCATAATATTACACAAATTATCTTACTTTGACGGCCATAATAGAAATGCAAGCTCCTTGGTCTCTGAACGCAAAGTACACTCCTTTTTTGGTAACTTTCACGGTTTTCGTCTCCGTGTTGATCACAACTTCATTGTTAGCGTTGAATCTGCCTTCGCCGGCAGCAATCCGACCTGCAATTGACAAACAAGAATGAGTATTTCTACGGCCGGTACTTAGATATGTGGTCGCATTGACGCTCGTCTTAAGCGCACAGCAAACTCTACCCTTATGCCACATGGGAGTTCACTTTGCAACATCAAGATTTAGTAAGCCGGACAAAGTAAATCCGACGGCGAGGGTTACACTTTAGGTTAGATCAGAGAAGTTTCGAATAGGAAAGTTTTAACCACGATAAAAAAGTGATGCGGGTTGAGTGAGGGATAATACGACGTAATCTACCTTTAGTGATCCGCCGAGAGACAATCTTTGAATACTGTATTTTGATCTTGTTTCTCTGTCGAAAGATTCATGATAAAATTCTATACGACCTCATACGTGCCCGAATTCAACAAATACTCATAAAAGGGACTGGGAAATGTTATTATTGTATGTTATCTAAGATGTTATCGTCTAGTTGTTCTTTTTCTGTACACAAAATATTTATTTCCATTGGCATTCCTTATTTATAATATATCAGTATTGATATAACGATTTAAATTTTATAACTTTGTGAACATTTCAAGAGCCAAAACGGGTATTACGACCTAGGAAAACAGTGCAAAAAATTGGTGTTATAATATTTTACTAGCATATTGATTCATAGGTTTATTCATTCGACCTATGAATTAATATAATTTTAGTAAACGAAATTCTGTTGTAATAATAAAAATGCGAGTAATGTGTCTTATTATTATACAAATAAGAATGCTAAAATAGCTTTGAATCATTTAATATTTATATAAACATACTGACCGACTGATTTGTAACTATCTGGTTCCCAAGGTGGAGGTTCCCGCGTGGCCACGTCAAATTCATAATACAATAGCGAAAACGTTTCTTTGCATGACAACGCGTAACCAGGAAACAGTGAACAGTCCCTTATGGTGAATTTCACTTCTATGTAGATGAGATTAGCCAGACCACGTTCAATGAACGGTGTCCATACCCAATTGTTAACGTTCTGTTTGGTAACATCACATACAACGTATGATCTCCAATTGATGCCCTTTTCAAAGTTTATGTAGCTTTCTTCTACCCACTGTAACACGAAAGTACACACACACATATATAAATAAAATGTTAAATTTAAATATGAAATGCACATTATTGTTATTATCATCATTATCATCAAGCATAGAAGGGGTAAACAAAGCGGCAATAGGACCTTTGGGTGGATTTCCCCCGAGGTTCGACAATATTATTAACAAGGCTCTATTGTTGTTGCACGTACATAAAGGAATTGTTGTAGTCGGCCAGGAGAAAATTTGTCGTAGCCGTCACTGTCGTCAATTGCGATAGTAAATAAAAACCCCCATTGGGTTAATGATCCGACGGCTACGACCCTCGGGAACTTCTGAAAACATTCCGATCACGAACGCTGTCGGTCCTTCATTTCGCCATCGTTTCTGTGCCGATCCTGCGGGATGAGTCACGGGAACCACCTTCAAAGGCTTGGGTAAATAGTAGTGTACACGAGCTATGTATTCATTTGCTTTGGCCCAACACTGAATCATCTGCCATTGAACCGTTAGCGAGGGTCGTAGCGAAATCTCATCAACTCCCGCACGTCACCTCTACTGTACCCATTGCCCGCCCGCATTCGCAATTTATAAACGCACACATAATATGTGTGCTTGTGCTTTATGCGTACGTGTCTCTGGCGATTCGTCTTGATCGGATTTGTCGACGACCCACCGAAATTGCGACTGCAAAATTTACATAATACGTTGACGACGGCTAGTCATTTCTCTCATACTGAATACCATCCAAGAATAAATTATAATACAAACGTAACATTATACTAATATACGACACACGAATGCATTGAATGTAATAATAAAAAGGTCTATGTAAGGGCGGACAAGCAAATACAATATTCCAATTTACTAAAAACACGAGCAGTTGAAATCGAAAAAATTTTATTTATATTAAATGACTTTCAAGGAGAAAATACACATATGTTTTTTTGAACTCTATTGAATGAATTCCCATTGAACATTTGAGACATTTACAGAGAGACGTGTTTTTGAACTATTATGACGCATTCGCCACACATCTTTCAATGGTAGCGCCGCCATTGATGAGTTTTAATAGAGTAGAAATAGGCCACGATTGTACCCACGGGGCAAAACGACCGTAGTAATTAACACGCCGAAAACGCATTTGTTCCGTACCCAGTATGCTTAATGAGCCCCGAAATCTTCATATAATTTGTTGCGTCATTACGGACATCATTCGGTAGTGAAAAATATACTATATCTGTATGTGTAATAAAAATAATAATACTTAATGTAAAAAGGAAGACGACGTTGTACGTTTGAACAAACGGCAAAGAGGGATTAGAAATTCACCCAGAGCGCACACTATTCCGTAAAAAGGACCAGCCGCCCTCCCAGTCACGAAGATGGTGGTATTTTTTTTTCTCAAGACTCACTAAAGTTACACAATGAGAATATGACTGTAATGTGTATTTAATTGCCCGGACTCTTGCGATGTTATTAAAGTACCATTAATGGGGCGAGTCTGACACGGAGAGAGATAGGTGCTACGAAGGCTACCTCTTTTACTTTCTATATAAATTCCTCTATATATATAATTTTTTTTTTTTTAACGTGGAAAATAATTCAGAGGTTCCGACTTCATATTCTTCTATGGTCTCCGCGCGCTCAGTCGATTTGTAAACGTCATCTGGTATAATTACATTAACAACCGGTAGGCTGAATTCTCTAACGGGAAGAAATCGTACGCAGAGGATATTGTAAGAACAGGTAGGCCGTGGGTCTTTGGAATACCACCACACATTTGAAGAATAAAAAGAAGGTTCGTAGAAGCAAAGAAATAAATAGCCGCAGTGGTCAGAATGGGAGCGGTAACATGGCGTAGACCGCGGAGACTACTTGTCACATTATGCAAATGTTCACATCAAAAGACTGCAGTTCTCCCGAGTCGGTGTATGGTTTTTTTCGAAGGTGACGCCGGTAAAATGCGTTTTATTTCTCATTGAAACGCACGTGAACATGCCGTTTGAATTTCATCTATATAAACACTAGTACGATCTTATGTTTATAATACCGCCGACATTTACCGTTCTAACGGTGGCCGCCGGCGTCACTGAAAATGCACTTTCGTAGAAAACGACGTGCCCGTCAAAACCGACGGAAGGCTTTTTTTTTTTACGACGGAAACAACAATATTATTATAATGAACCGCCGTTGACAGTTTAGAAGTGCCGCCGTCAAGAAGTTACATAAAACAACTTCGGGTCAGCAGACGAAACCTTACAACGGCGTCACCGATGGTCATACGATACATCGACACAATGAACAATAGGCATGGAGTGTACTATTAAAATTTAACAGCGATAGCTTTTTACCGACATTGTAACAGATGGAGCTTTAATGAAAAACCGCACACCAGACATTGTACCGGCAGAGTAAGTCTACAGCAATAACAACATTTTCCGGCTCACGGAGTCAATGTTATTGTAGTGCTCCCAAAAAAGGCGCGTGAAATTATTGATTTATCAGCGAAACCGAACTACAAGAAGAAAAAATAAATAAACTTAATTAAAATCCCACCCCAACGATTTCCATTTAAATTCAAATGGGTCGCATGTTTTATTCACGTGGTAGAACAACAATCATGCGTTTTTCTCCCTATTTTTTCATTGTTATGTCGTCAGTGAATATTATTACGCAATCTGCATTGACGACGTTAGAAGAGTGAATTTCAACTACGACGACGGTTTATGGTCAAGCGGTCGCGTAAAAAAAAATAAACAATGCAAAATATTTGAAACCAAAACACTGTAATAAACGAGGGAGGTTCGGCGAATAATATGATGTCGTAGCTCTTCGTTCCGGCTCATTACACATAAAGCAAAAAAAAAATAAAAGCTGACAGTTTACCCAGTAAAACCAGTTGACTGATCGAGATTCGTACACATAAACACATTGTGTACTCAAAGGTGTAGAGAAAAAAAAAGAGACAGAGATAAATATAATGGTAACGAAATTCGCAAGGGCCCACTTTACAGCGAAAGCGTACAAGAATAACAAAAGGGTGTTTCGCTCATTAGCCTCCGTGAAACCAGATATACGGGCAGGCGGTCGTGACAATGACAAAAGATTCGAAATAAAAGAGAGAAAAAACCGAAATGCTCAAGCCGACTGTTTTCTCAAAACGTTCTTGACGAATGAAAGACCGCCGTCGCCGTCGGGAGAGGATTAAATACAAAGTTTTGTATACATCACACACAAGTTTGCCCGGGATCCGATTAATTATTGCTTCAAGGTTGATGCGGGGGCGGCACTAAGGTATTAAGCGTGTGCACGAACCGTTTTCCGGTGGACGTAATCCTAACCCTAAGGCTATGGGTCAGCGAGCTTTCGGTCGATCTTTATTTATGACCCGGACTTTTTTCCTCCCGTGAATCCGTTGTCTCCTGTTTTAATAAAGCGGTTACGTTTTTCAGAGCCAATGCAGTCCTTCCGTAAAAGGTCGGTAATTTTAAGAGAACGTAATACTATAGCAAAATATCGTGAGAAATCAAATACATTAATATTTTACTGCACTAATGTAATTGGAATTTTGTTTAATAGAATTCTACACGTTATTTTGTCGCACTCGACAGAAAATCGCAAAAGCGGGGTGGTCGAACAACAGCAAACTTTACCGCGAGGGTTTAGAAGAGAATACCTACCGAAGTACTCAAATTGTTTCATTAGAGCACTATGTTCAACTATGTACACTAATCACTCAAAGTCCCCAGTTTTCAGGTCGATTTAAGCATACGTATAATTCACGTTATATTTTGTTAAGAATTTATCATCGTAATATAGTTGAAGACAAATCGGGTCATTCTGAAATATGTTGATAATTTTCATATTTATGCATAAACATAATCGTAAGAACTTTACTGATGTCAATAAATTTCTATAAAAGAAAAGAAAGCCGTTTTTCAACGGCGCCAAGAATAACATATTCAATGTTCTTTTTTTTAACAACCCCGTTTATCAAAAAATAAAATAGCATTTTTCTGTAATAGCAGCAGCTGTTCCTAGTACGATTTTGTATAGACGTCGGATATTATGTAACGACTAAAAAACATCATTACTCTATACGATCATAAAATTGACTTTTACATAAGCAAACTTTATAAATATATCGGCCAATCGTAAAAGTCCAGTGCGATCGACTTCATGCGCGTTGGTATTGGATCAGTTAATATGTTCAGACACACCAAACAAAGATGCGTTATTATTAATGAGCTCCCTTGGGCAAACATTAGAACATCGTGGCGCACAAACTCGATTACGATTTGCACCACATTGTCAGGACAGTATTGAATTTCGATCGTCCACGAAAATGTCCTTTGACAATTACACTGATCTCAGCGCGGATCAGAGAATATAAGCAGATACCAATGCGCTATATGATCAAAGTTATTCCAACCCATCTCGGCCTGACGTTTCATAGTCGGTTGACAAGTGGTGGAAAAATTTTGCTCTCCCAAGTCATAAACATCTCGTTACTGACGCCAAAACTAAGCAACCGAATGTACACTACAAGGCAACTAGAACTTTGGTCGGCATGTGCACAATACCCTTGTCAAGGATCACATCTACTGACACGAAAGGGCTCGTTAATTTCGGATTTGCGTGCGAGACCGATTTACTGCCATTTTTCATTCGCCACCGCACAGCAGTTTTACTTTCCGGCTGTTCTCATTTTCAGTAGGCATTTTCACCGTTCGACTCGGCGCATACGAGACGAAATAAATGGCCAGTGAAATTAGTGCAACTCCAACGCGGTGGCGAGAGACGTTCGAGCATAACAGAACAACCAGCAACTTTTAAAGCGTTCCCGGTGAAGTCTACGGACACGGTAATAAACAAGTTTGTTTCCATAAATAATATCGGCACGATTAAAACACCGAGTTAATTATTGTACAGTTGTTGGAGACAACCGTTAAATACGAAAGTACTTTGCACAAAACTAAAACTCTGAGGAACAATTATGCGTTTTCAAAGTGTTGAC